AAACAAAACTAATCATCCAGGTCTGGTTGTTTCAGTGTGGATGGTGTGACTCATTTTCAGGGGTTTTTCTGCTTCACCAACACATTTTCATTTCAATTTTTTTTCTTTTCTGCAAACTTTTATCTGCTTTTCTGTCCTGAAGTGCAAATAATGACAATAATTGACTGAGGTGTCGTTATTTAAGTGCTTAAAGTCATTCTGCTGTGCACATTACCGATATATATTTTTTAATTCTCCAGTTTGATCAGATGGTGACTCATGCAGGCGTAGAAAACTACTTAATGTGCGATCAGAGGATTTGATAAAGTGCAGCTAATATTAAAAGGATATGAGCAGAGCAGAATTTGGTTTTAAAGATACTTTTTTGAGTTTGCAACATAAATTACAAAAAAAAAGGTAATGAACTATGTTCATCAGTTTTAAAACTGGAGTTAATGCTCAGACACGTAAAAAGGAAAATTAATTTTTAAAAGCCTTGTAGGATTAAAGCACAAACATTTAGAGAAAACAGACCTAAAAATGCGTCACAAGTAATTAAATGTGTCTGGAAAGATAAAGAGCTTCTCTTATTATTAGTTGAAATGATAAACTGTCGAGYCATGGTGTTAATTCCCGCTAATGAAAAACAAACAAAGTAAACAGACAGAGTTAAACTCTCGGAGAGGAAAACAGATTTAATCCGAGAGATTAGGGATGAATCTTTCTAAATCCAAATGTGCAAAAACAAAGATTTCTCAAAGTATTTTCCAGAGATCTATTTTTGTCTCTGACCACCTGTCCTGTGATTATCTGTGCAGAGATTACAAACATGATGTCATCGCAGACATTTTGTTGCAATGATGGCAAAAAGAGTTCATTGGCAATGATTAGGACTTGAAGAAGTGACTTTAAAACAGAAATGCAGGTAAATTGTGTAGCCTAATTATCTTTTTACTAACGTTCAAAGAAATACTAAATGAATTGTTGCAACTTAAAACAATTGCAGGAGTTAATAATCACTGAGTGATGAGATTGAACAAATGAGACGACTCTCATTCCAGACCAGAGGTGAAACTAACCTCAGTAAAATAATATGATTAACAACCTTTTATTTTTAGCTCTTTTTGTGTCTGAAGTGCAGTAAAATGTCATTTTTGATAATTAAAAGAGTTGCAGTTAGGTGCCAAACGTCAAAGGCCTGAACAAACAGTTGTGACTTCACTTTTAAAGTCCAGCTGATGCAGCAGGATTTACAGGTAAAGTGAGGAGATGAACATCAGGAGGCTGGATTTCATCTGAACACCAGAGGAGGTTTAGTTTAGCTCAATAAAAGATATTTTCAAGAGAAAGTAATCACAAAAGAATTTTTCAGCTGGAAAGGAAATTCTGATACACACATATTCACCATTTAGTTTAAATTGGATTATTTTGTCAGAGGAAAAATAAACTTATCAACTCTATTGTTTTGGATTAGCTTTTTTTTTTCAGCAGCTTTGAAAACCACTGCCAAAACTAAGTCTCCTCAGCTAAAAAACAAAACATCCTCAGGTTTGTGTCAAACAAAGACGTGACCCAGACTGAGATGATGGTGTTATCTTCTGCAATTGTTTTACTTGTTTAGCTTTATAGCATTAGCTTTAGATAATGTTTTTGTTTCACTGTTTGTGTTGTGTTATTGTGTTTTCTTGTTTTGCTGTTTAGTATTGGCTTCTGCGATTTATTTTTCTGAGCTGTTCAACATTCACTTTCACAATTTTTTTACTTGTTTAACTGTTAAGCATTAGCTTCCATTATTTTTTTTTTACATCTGTAGCTGTTAGCTTCTACGGAAGCGTATTGCTATCACGCAGGAAAAAAAAATCCGAGCGCTATCACGTTTTAACAAGATACGTATCACGTTATAACGTGGAAGCGCTCGGATTTTTTTTTCCTACGTGATAGCAATACGCTTCCGTAAGCTTCTGCTATTACTTGTTTAGCAGTTCAACATTAGCATATGCTAACTTTTCACTTGTTTAGCTGTTTTGCATTAGCATTTGCTTTTTTTGCTTGTTTACCATTAGCGTCTGATAATTATTTATTTTTTAGCAGTTAAACATTAGCATTTGCTAAATTTTCACTTATTTTGCGTTTTCTTTTCCCAAGTTCTTTTACTTGTTTACTGTTAAGCATTATCTTCTGCTAATTATTTACTTGTTTATCAGTTATACATTAGCATTTGCTAACTTTTTACTTGTTTAGCATTAGCATCTGCTAATTATTGTTTACCTGCTTAGCAGTTTAGCTTTAGCCGCTGCAAATTTTTTATTTGTGTAGCTGTTTCGCGTTAGCAGATCTATTTTTTTTTAGTGAGCAGAAGATTATGAGTTAGCCTAGCCAACGTTTTGGTTAGCTTTGTCCACCGCTGCATTTTATTGCACTGAAAARACTCACCTAGAAAAGCTTTGACTACAGCTTTGTTATTAGAAAACATGCAAAAGCCAGAAGAGAAAAAGAAGCAATAAGAAACACAAACCCAAAATTAGAATCAATAGTCTAAAGATCTTTACTGTGATAAAATAATAAATCCTCGTGTATTAGGAAGCAGAGTCAGGATTAAAGAAAGAAACAAACCATGGATTCAAATTAAATCCAAGCAAAGAATAATCTCTAAAAGCTTCCATAAATAATGTATTTTATTCCCTCTGATTTAACAGAGCACATAGGTCCATAATTTTAGAGATGCCTTTTTTACATTATTATTATCGGGCTGCTTTTTATAAAATACAATAAAAATATACAAACAAACCAAAACTACTCTCCTCTGCAGTTCTTCCTCCTCTCCAAGTCTTCATCCATTTATAACTGCAGCCTGAAGTCACTGCAGAGGATCTACCTGTAATCAGCCACATATTTAATACCCGATGTCGAAGCAGGGCTAAGACCATCACCTGAGACCCAGTCCACCATCTCGCAGGCTCCTACCCTCCGGCACAAGAGTCAGGATTATTCAGATTATTCTTCTCTGGAGCTGCTGAAGCATTAAATAGGCTGTAGGACCCTGAAACAGTTGAACTTTTATATGACACAGACTGAACCGTTTCTTGGCTGGAAGCTCTTAGCTTTTTAGTGAACAGGATGAGACGTGAGATAAGAATCATTTTTCCATTATTTATATAAATGAAATCCCTCTCTGCAAGCTTGCGAAGCACAAAGACAACAGTGACTTCTACGAGCAGGAAGTAGTCAGACAACCTGCTGAGAGGTTTGGCAGAAACCCGTAAAGTGTCTTTCATAGAGTATTTTTTTCAGTTCACACTAATGAAAGAGAAATCCAGTGAATGACAGCCTTTGACCTTTCCATTTCCGCTCCCTCTGCAGGTAACCTCTCTAAAACCTGCACAGCAGATGGCTGGACCGAGATGCAGCCCGTTGACATCGCCGTGACCTGTGGATACAATCTGAATGGCACCAGCGATGATGTGAGTGTGAACTGGGAATAAAAGATCCGAGGTCCTGCAGCGAATCAATGCAGGAACGCAGCAGGAGGGCCAGAGCCAGCGAGGCAGGAAGAACAAAATAAGAGCTTTATTCTTCCTCTTTGTTTGATTTCTGGTTTAATATTTGTGAAGTGGTTTCGTTTTTGGCTTTCATTCAGTCCGCTTGTGGTGTTTTTCTAAGAAAATGAAAATGAGGTTAATTTAGGCTTTTATACTCCTGACAACACAAAAATCAACCAGTCTTTTTTATTCCTCCAAAGTATTTTAAAACTGAAGGCAGTTTGTTGATCACCGTAACTAGACTACATATTGTGCCTTAAAAGTGGTAACAGACATTATTTTAAACTTTTACTTCAACTATAAAATAGAGTCTAGAAATACTGTAGACTGTTTTTTTTAAATAAAAAGTTACATATATTGTCACAACACTGCAAAGCATTCTGGGTAAATGATGTTTATCCACTGCTGTGGTGTGGACTCTATCCAGCTTGAAAGTTAATTTTGGACAATGTCTGACATTTTGAAAGAAACTGGAGTGAATTGACAGAGATGAGAATGTAGAAATGATTCAGCTTGAAAATAGAAATCCTGATGAGGACAACAGATCTGCTTCATAGAAGACTCACCTCAGCTTCAGAGCTAAYAGATATAACATTAGCTCCAGAGAAACTACATACGTATAGTACCAACTCCAGAGTTAGTAAATATAGTGTTAGCTCTCAAGCTAAAATATGACGTTAGCTCCAGAATTAAAATACAGTGGGGTGTGAAAGTTTGGGCAGCCTTGTTAATTTTCCTGATTTACCTTTGTAAATCATTGATTGTTTGGGTAAAAAATATCAGTAAAATTAATATATCATATAGGGGACAAACACAGTGATATTTGAGAAGTGAAATAAAGTTTATATGATTTACAGAAAGTGTGCAATAACTAGTTAAATAAAATTAGGCAGGTGCATAAATTTGGGCACCATTGTCTTTTTATTGATTTGAAAACATTTTGAACAAATTACTGGAATTTAAATTTGGTTTGGTAAGTTCAGCGACCCTTGACCTCCACACACAGGTGACTCCAATTATGAAAAAGAGTATTTAAGGGAGGCAATTGTAAGTTTTTCTCCTCTTTGCATCTTCTTTGAAGAGTGGCAGCATGGGAGTCTGAAAACAACTTTCAGATGAGCTGAAAACAAAGATTGTTCACTGTCATGGTTTAGGGGAAGGACACAGAAAGCTATCTCAGAGATTTCAGCTTTCAGTCTCCACTGTGAGAAACATTGTGAGAAAATGGAAGACCACTAATATATGACAAGCTCCAGAGTTAATATATATATAGCGTCAGCTCTCAAGCTAGTATACGGTATATGACATTAGCTCCAGAGTTAATACTATATATGATGTTAGCACCAGAGTTAATATAGCGTTAGCTCTCGAGCTAATATACAGTATATGACTTTAGCTCCAGACCAGTTAATATACTGTATATGATGTTAGTTCCAGAGTTTATATATATA